GCGCGACAAATATGTTATTCACATCAAATGATAGTGTCCTGTTCGAAACCATGCTTTTCCCTTTTGGCTTGGCCCAAGCATCACGATCACGAAGATAGCCAGGGGCAAAGGAAATGGATGGTAAACAAAGCCCACCGGACACTAACTCATCGCACACGCGCACCGAACAGCAGGAGAGACCTATCAGACTGTGTGTGGAATGACTGATTTGATTAATATTTTTTTTAATATGGAATCAATTTCACTTTAACTTTTTCCACCCCAGAAAGTGCGAAGGAATCTTCGAATGCCGAGACTCACTGAACCACGCGTTACAATTAAATTGGGTCTTCTGCACCCCAAGTCTTTCATGGAAAACTGTTTAGACAACCATGTCCTAGTTGACTGCAACTTTGCTTCGCTTCGTTCGTTGGGTTAAGAGAGCTTCCTCGTGCTAATCTAATCACATCTCTCTCTATTTCCTGGAAATCATGTATGCACAGACTTTCCGAAATCACATAAATGTGACAGATCTTTCTCGACTATAGGGATTGAGTTGGCTAAGCTGTAAAAGCATAGGACGCCAGAAGCAGCCTTCTTTTAAAATGCAAGCCCCCGCTGACAGGACGAAGCGACTTGCGGTGACCAGCTCAATGTAATCGATCCTTTCACTCTATGACTGAACTTCGCGGAAGAAAGGATAGGTGTAGATCCGATTCACCTATGTCAGTTCGAATTCGGTCAACACAAAAGGTTACTCAGCCGTCTCACACGGTCTCGACCGGAGACGTCGAACTATTTTTCACTCTTGAATCTATTTACTACTNAACAACGCGTACTCTTGCTGCCCGCTGACACCGCTTTACCTTACCGCACATTGAGTGTTGACAGCTAGCCAATTAACCCCGATGTTTGCGAAAAGTGCGACTAAATCCTCCCTTATTAGTGACGGTCTATATTACAATTCTCTTGGGCTGGATCTGGCCGGGCCCAACAGTCCACGTCCTGAATATGTCCTCAAGTATCGAATAATCCTTAGCACAGCTGTAAAATGAGGTCGTCGAGGATCACTCATGAACTGGCTGACCACGTGAACGGAAAATGCTATTTCAGGTCTAGTAGAAGACACATATATCAAGCTCCCGATCAACTGACGAGACTTTGACGGATCTGTAACTGGGTCTCCTTCACTGGGGGACAGTTTCACATTCCGCTCAAGAGGTGTCTCAACTTTATTGTCGTCAGTGAGATGAGCCTTGCTTATGATCTCCATAGTGTACTTATGTTTAGATAGTTAATAGCCTCTCTTGGAATATGCCACTTCTATCCCCAACAAGTCTTTCATGTACTCCATATCCTTCATCTGGAACGGGGATTGTAGGTGACGCTTCAGGTCAATTATATCGAGCCATATCATTTCCAGTGATTAACATCAACAGATATCAAAAGCTGAACAATGCTTTTTTTTATCCGAGGCGAACAACGAATAGTCACAGCTATTCTCTTTGAATCCAGCCTATATAATCCAATCCGGAAGTAAAACATAAAAATGGTGATTTTCCTTTCAATACAGAAGAGTCAGCTGTTGATTTTGATTGTCTTGTAGCTGATGAAGCTTGAATTCAAAGCCTAGAGCTGCGGAGTGGTGTGTGGGACTCGTGTAGTAGTAGCCAGACTCCTCGTGCCAGCTTCGCTCCTCCCCCATGTGTAAACCAATATCCCGCTCAATTGCATCGTACTTTTGTCTAGGTCTCCTGCCCAGTCAGCTTCGATGGATTGTTTTGACGCGACGTCTACGAGCTTTATACTGGCTGATGCTGAGCATGTCAAATCTTGACCGACAGCTGTGAGTACAAACGCTCTCGCATGTAGTTTCAAATATCGTACAACAATAGCATATAGAAAGACCCTTGCTGTCAGTCTCACGACGTACTACTTGAAGTACT